GCTGGGGCGGTGGTGATGGTGGCGGAGCTGGGGCCTGTGTTACCCCAGAGCGCCAGGGGCCGAGGCCGAGAGGAGCAGGAGGGAGGTGGGGGTACCTGGCGCTGGGCGTGCAGCGCGTGGTTTGGGTGCCTGCCGATCTGCCCGGGGCTGTCCGCTGAGATCGGGACCCGAGGACGCACTGGGGCACTTCCGGATTTAGAAGGAATAAGTAACACCCCGCCCTGGATGTACGTTCACTCGCCCTGCGAATCGTCACTGTGGCCGAGCGCGGGCGTTCTCAGGCCTGTATTTCACCCTCCTGGAGAGATGCGCGCCTGCGAGATAGGACCCGCCTCCCACGGCGCAGTTCCCTCGCAGTTCCCCCGTCCTCGTCCATTTCTCTCTCACTTGCTGCCGCGGCGGGGTGTGATCCGTGAGGGGGCGCGAGGGGCGGGCGCGTCTCTCACGGGCGACCCCGGTTCGATCAGGTGGCAGAATTTGGCTCGTCGGCTCCGGGGAGCGCGAGAGGGTTCGAAATGTTGGGTTCGAAGTGTGCCTGCCGGAAGGGGGATTTGCGTTTCCCGTCATTCTGTTGCCGTTCTTCTCAGTTTGTTGGGCTGCGGTGGTGCTTCTCTCTTTTATCCCGCTGTGCTGTCCTCGCCGGGGACGCTGGTGGGGCTTCTGCGTGGGCGAGTGTCTCCTGCGGGGCGGTCCTTCTCGTTCCGAGGCTCCGCGGTTTGTCTCGGTCTCTGTCTCTCTCGGGGGGGGGGGGCTCGGAGGGGTTGACCGTGAGGGCAGGGGAGCAAGTGCGTCAACTCGTCCCGGCAACGTGGCGGCCAGACCGTGTGACCGGGCCGAACGTCCCCCCCCTCGCGGGTTGAGAGTTGAAAGGGCAGATCGCGGTGGGGGGGGAGGAGGTGACGGTGCTGCAGGTCGGGTGGGGGCTGAGATCACGGACAGTGCCGTAGAGCCACGTCTGTCCGCTCTGGAGCGGCTCGGGCTGGTGATGCTGGGAGGGTCGCTGGCAGTGCTGTGCAAGTCGGGGTGGGTGTGACTGGTGCACAATGGGAACCTCACTGACAGCACAGTAAAACCTGTAGTGAATCTTGAACACCCTTTAAACTGGGATCGCACCTCTGTCTTGAGTGGTTTTCACAGATCAAGCAGCCTTTTAACCTTTTGGGTCACTAATTAAAATTGGATTCCAAGTGGCTGGCAGTGATATTTATAACCATTATTACTACTAATAGTAGCATTATTAATTTTTTAACACTTAACTATAATTCGTCAAAGACACCCTTGGCTCCCCACCTATCTGCAGTGGGACTGGTGTCTCGGCAGGGATCTCTCGGTGGGTTTCACCAGACTCCTCAAAACGTCTGTGTTACACTGCTTGAGTACAGCACAGTTCAGGGTGAAGTCTAGGTGTATAAACCCCTCAGTGTCACACTGCTGAGGTAGAGCAGAGTTCAGGGTGAAGTCTGGGTGTTGGTGTGTATAAACTCGTCAGTGTTACACT